AGTGAGCTGACTGTCATTATTCAATGCAAGTGGTAAGTAACTTTAGTGAGCTTACCATCATTCAATGCAAGTGGTAAGTAAGTTTAGTGAGTTGACTGTCATTATTCAATGCAAGTGGTTAGTAAGTTTAGTGAGCTGACTGCCATTCAATACAAAATATTGGTCTTTCTGATCTCCAAGTTTTTTTTTGTAAAAATAACTGTGAAGCTCAATCTATAATTTGATTTACTACTTTCACTGAGTTTTTCTGGTTTTTGAGAATTCCACCCCCCAACAGTAATCCAGGACAATAGCAAATCAAAAGAATATGACACGGCTTCAACTAGTGGTGGAGAGTATATGTATGGTGTTTTGAAAATAATACCTTACAAGGTTTTTGTTTAAGTAGCAAAAAAATGTGTATAACAATTATGAAAAATAATAATTTAACACTGTTATATCAAGTCTGTATTTAAGTGTTTAGCATATGTTGAAGGTTATGAAATATTGTCTTAGCTTACTACAAAGTTATATAATTACTTATTCACATTTCTCAAAGGAGGCAGCAAACAAAGCAAGTCAGCAAAAACCAACCACTCCTTGTGATGAAAAAGAAGACGAACTCTCTCCAATGCCTAATATAGCTCCACCACAGCGAGGTCGACGAGGGGCCGTTAGTGCTGAAACTTACTCAGAAGAAGATGCAACTACCTATGAGAAGAAGGTTTGTTTTCTTGGGAATTTGTTCATTAACCTTATCATGAAGGGTCACGTGTCAAAGGCCATATCATCATGTTTGTTGACTTGCATTCAAAATTTTATTGAAGTACTATTTTATGAATCTATGCAATAAGTTTGGTATTATATTGTAGATTATAATTCAAAATTTTATTATTATACATTAGTTAATTTCTTAATTTAAAAGTAAATATTAAAAAAACACACAGCTAAACATTGATTTTTGTGTGTCGCATGGTATGTTGAATGCAGCATTGGTTCAAATTAGATGTTTATGATGTCAGAATACAAAATCTATAGTTTTGTACAAATTAGGAACTCAAACTACCAATATTGACAAGCTAGAATATAAAATAAGAACATCTTATATTTTCTATTTGCTAAGATATCGCTCTTGTACTGAATCAAACACAGTGGTCCCCTGCCCACCTCTTTCCATTTTTGGAAACAGTTCATTGTATACACTTACTTCTGTATATGACATGAATAATTAATCAAAAGCTCAGAATGTCCCCCTAGTGGTTTTCTCAGCCATTTTGATGTGTTATTGTGCTAATTTCATTCTTTTCACACAAGATTTCAAATGATAAGGTAAGTCTTTAGTGAGCTCCAAATTTCATATTGTTTTAGACCCAAATACAGCTTAGTTACTAAGCCTGATAAATTATAGTGGAATTCTGTGGTATTGATGTAGTAATTTACGATTTTTTGATTATTTAAAATGTATATATAAAACCTAAAAAAATAGTTTTGAAATAATCTATCTATAATAAATGAAGCATACCTATTAAGTACTACAGATTGGTCATAGTGACTGTTTTTAATTAGTGTAAAACACTTATGGTTATATTACTGTTTATTGCAGATTCAATGTCATATCTGAGTTTTCTTCTTTATTTCACAAAAATAAATCATTATATTGCTTTTATAATTTGTGGCCATTTTCAATTCCTTGAGCCTGACAAACTTTATAATTGCAGACAAGGGGAATAAATGTAGGGGGCCTAATTACTTTTTATGCAGGATGATGCAACTTTTGTAGTTATGCCACTGTTGACAGGTACATATAGGGTGTGGTTTAAGAATAATAATTTTACATTTTATAGATTAAAAACCTACATACAGAATAAAGAAAATTAACAATTTGATTGCCTGCTTGATATTAAAAATTGAATAAGAAATTTACACAAAAAAAGTCACTTCCTGCTGAAATTATGGCAAGTCAGGGTTGTTGCTGAAACATGCAAGGTCCATTAGAATGTTGTAGAAATCTTACATAAGATAAAATAGTTAATAATAATCATGATTTTGTAAGATCTTATGTACTTGAACAATTATTTACAAGAACATTTTTTATCAGGTTTAATCTGGCATAAAAGTAGGTCATGGCAAGGGTGGAAGAAAATAACGAATTTGGTCTTTACAGTCATGTTGATTCTGTGGCACTTGAAAGTTTTTTCTTATTATAAAATGTGACAAAAAAAATAAATTTGGAATAAATCAGGGAAAACTGAATATTTATAAATATTGCATTTAATAGTGGAAAAGTTAATTTTGAAAATTAGGCTTAGTAGCAATAAAACAAATAATATTTCTCTATCTTTTGGCTAACAAAAGTAACAGACGCCATTTAATCAGAATTACTCTATACACAGTGAGAGATGGTTGAAACAAAGCTAGGCTTAGGATGTATAGACATATGAGTTTGTGAAATATTTCACCACTCTTACACCACAGTATTAAAGTATAGGTTGTGGATGTTTTGTTAATTTAAGGATATATTTATATATAGATGGTACTGCTATCGCTAAGTAGTTTTGAACATATTTTATGCTTTATAACAACTGAAAATTAAGAATCATTGTCATTTTGCAAACAAATGGTGCAAGTTGGCCAAACAAACACTATAAATTAGTGTGATAGAAACTAAATAGTCATATATTAGATCTGGACTCTTCCACCTGATAATCATTCATTTAGTGCTAATGCATGAATAGGCTAGCTGATCTGTACTAATGCAGTTCTGTTTCGTAGATTACACAGGCCTGCGATGGTTTTATTGACTTGAAATGTTTACATCTTCTACAGTAATTCCTGTACACCGAATCCGAAAATGATATCCATTTTTCTCCATCATGTAAAAATTTTTCACAAAATGTCATAATGCAATACATAAAAGAAAGACCACTACATGTAATTTTGAGACTAAAGGACGTTGGTTTGACATCATTGTTCTTCCCCTTTCTTCAGTTTGTTGGTATTTTTGTTAACAAACATAATAATAAAAAAAGGTTCATTGTGGTAAACAAAATAATAATTTGATCTGAGTAAGAGTTTTTTTTCCCAACCTGTAAAAAATCTGTATGTGATAAAAAAATGAATATTATTTTTTAAATCTGCGTAGCTGAATTATGGAAAATCTATTATTAAAACCAAAACAACCTTTATGAAGTTTAAATTTGTAGGCCTGTATTATTGATCAGAAGTGGTATTTTGTATAAAATCTTTATGAATATTTAGGGTTTGAAGAACTTTATAAGACTAAAACATAATGAATAGTATTAATGCGTATAATAACTTTTCCTGTCAAATAAATCATGAGATGTAACTACTTTTTTCTTCTCTTATCCATTTCTGTCTAGGTTGTTCCCAAAGACTACAAGACCATGGCAGCTCTCTCTAAAGCTATTCATCAGAATGTTTTGTTTGCTCACTTAGATGACAATGAACTTAGGTTAGTCTATGACATAAAAAAAAATTACTAAGTTGACAGTGTTATTGTTATTAATATTGTTAAAGAGTAATAAATATTTATTGATTATGTGCAAGTTTTTAGAAAAAATTTTTTATGAAAATTTAAACCTGAAACAAATATCAAAAAAGAAAAATTGTTTATTAGTAGATTCTTTTATATGTAACGTTCTGAATAGAGCTGGGCGATTTAGTCATTGTAATCGATTACCTATGAGGAATGATTACATAAAAATAATCAACTAGTTTAAATTTAGTGTTTTTGATTATTCAAATTTTTTATTATATCAAGTAATCGAAATGTTGCTATTATGTTTGTTATTAAGCACGGAGCTACATAATGGACTGTCTGTGCTCTTCCCAATTTTAGCCTTATAAATTGTTTTTGTTTCTTGTTTTTTTAATTCAAATTTTTTCAGTTTTATTGATTAGAGTTGGGGCTTGTGATTTAGAGGTTTCGGGTTCATTCTCATTGGCACCATACTTACTTGCCCTGTCTTTGCCCATTTTGAACTGTTGACCAGAGGGAAGGCAACTGTTACCTATGAGCTGTTGACCAGAGGGAAAGCAACTGTTACCTATTGGGAGCAAAACTGCACTTGCTACTGACCTTTTTTTTTTTTTTTTATATGCCATGGTTTGGGGAACACTACTAATACATTAATCGAATGTAATTGATTGATGGGGACTGTTCATCAGTTGATTAGCAAATACTACTAATTTCTCCAATCTAGTTCTGAATATCGTAGTTGCTAAGTTATGTTTCGAAAAGTAGAGTAGTTGAAGACTCTGGACTTCCTCATCTGTAGATGTAAATATCAATCTAGCATCTAAACAGTGTTTAATAGTCAAATGTCAAGATGTAGAAATTCAAATATCAAGGAACTTGTGTGATGATGGTACATTTTGGGTTTTTAACTTGTTTTCTTGTACTTAGGTGTTGTATTGATGTAGATGTTAATTGTGAACTTGGAAAGGCTAGTATTTTGGTTTTTGGTCCTCACTGTCTATAACCACTAGAAAATAAAGGTTTAATTTTTTTCTTAGCTCAGAATGTTACCGTTGATTGCCAGCTGTTTCCAGCAATGTAAACCTTGAGCAAAATGGACAATATTTCTATCTATGATTCTGATAGAGTGTATTCCTATTTTTACAGTGACATCTTTGATGCCATGTTTCCTGTGGTCCATAATGCTTCAGAAGTCATAATTCACCAAGGAGATGAAGGAGACAATTTTTATGTTATTGATCAAGGAGAAGTTGAGGTATTTACAAAAATTTACATAGATTTGTTAATAACAAGATGTAAAAAAGCTAGGGTACTTGTTAAGTATGTATTGGTGTGTATATACTTAATTAGTAATAGTGACATGGTCCAATAATTGTCTGGTTCTTAACCTCGAGGGGTAAATATAGGTGAATATTAAGATGTAAGAATGTACACTGAGTAGTCACAAGTAAATAGACACCTAATTTTTCGTCATTTAACTGATTTATGCTAACCAATTTGTGTTAACAGAGCACTATATAAATG